GTCTATGTGCGAGTGTGTGTGTCGAACTCAAACTGGTGTCTGTGCATTGCGTGCTTGATGACAGACGATCGTTGCGTTGCTGTGCCATCAGCTGGTGCATAGAGAACAGGTCGAACCGGGTGCCAGCGCGTACGAATCACCGCCGCCCCCACCAGAGCCACTGCCAGTAGCGAGCGACGAGCTGTGGTCAGTCAGTAGCCCGAGATCGGCACGTCCAGCCTGTGCCGCCGTCCAGACAACAGTCAATCGATCGAGCGAGAGTCCATTACTCTTCTTGACCACTGACCACGTTGCACGTCGATCGTGTCACTTCAAATAGCCGCTGCCGGTCAAAATTTTATTCGTCTGCTTCGTCCGGCCCTCATCGTCACTTCAACGTGCTGCTCAAACTTCCTCCTACGACCTCCGACTTCTGCTGTTTTTTGTTACCGTTCGTTGCATTGGTTCAAAATCGACTGTCCATCGATTGATCCTCCGATCGATAAAACCCGATGATCCTCGCAGCAGATCGACGTTGTTCGGTGAGTGAGGAAAATCGTCAACGATTTCAAGTGTATTTGTGGGTGTGAGTATGTGTGCGTATGTGCTGAGTTGCCACCGAGACGGTAGTGGCAGCGAACGGTCTGCCAGTCGCACCCGATCGACCTGTCACTCGGGTTCTGTAGACGGTAGGACCGATTTCGTTTCGTCGTCGTCATCGTAGTCGGCATTTCTTGCAGCCATCGATTGATCGATCGAATGATTGCCGGACATGCAGCAGAGCAGGCAGGTCTGCTGGGGTTGGTCTGGCTGGTTTCGCACTTGTTGCATATTTTGCGTCTCGATGACGAACGGTGGTCTGGTGCTGCCATCGTCTCTCTCGGGTACCGTTTGTTTGTGAATTCTATCCGGACAGTTCGCTTGCTCTCTTTTTGATTGTCCCCGGTTTTAAGTTTAAAGTAACGTAAAGTAGTGAACTTTAAACTAACTTTGTGTCATAAGCAAACTGTAAAATAACTGCAAATAATGTCAGAACAGAAAATTGGCATGCTCGCTTTTTCACACGTTTAATCGTTGGCTACGGATCTTTACAATTTCGTTATGTTGGTTTCTGACGTATGCATTTTAAGCTACAGCAGGCCAACGAATCTAAGCCACGTACGTTGTAAAAACTGCTCTTCTACAGACGACAGATGCGATGCAACATCATCAACTTAAAAATAATCTAATGTTGTATGTGTGCGCTGCGTTGTTCATGTCTCTCACCGATGGCTAAGGTGGCTCGATGCGTTCGTTCTCTGTTCAAGTTGGATCTAAGTTTCCTGTATGCAAAATCAGGATCGTCGTATAACGATGTTAATTTGATGAGTAAAGTATTTGCATGGAATCAGTGGAAGCCACCATTCGTATTTATTTCCGAAGACAGCGTATTGGAGTTTTTCCAACCCCCCCCCCAACTACTATCTGAGGGTACGTTGACGGCTTATACACAAGGCAAACAGACTATCCAGGAGCCAAATCATGGATCATATCAGTAAATGAAAAGAAAATAGTTTCTTTCTGTTGCTTGCCTGACCAGACGCAGGGAAATCAAATCAAGTGTAAATCAATTCCTTCCGTCCATTTTTTGTCGTCAGCGAAATAGTCCTAAGCGCAGTGACGGATAAACACAGGTCAAGTAACCATTTTCTCGGGTCCACAACGCAATATTCGATATTTCACAAAGCTTTTCAAGGTCCTATTTCAGGTCAGGATTGATTTTGTTACTTTTTTGGCATCTGAGACTGGAGTCATAAATTTGATGTTTTGCCAGACTAACCGTTAGGTTAGCATTTGTTCACATTATGCGTTTGTTGTCGTGTTAAATTGATTGCCTGTAGATTCATAGATTTCACCATAATTACCTTCAGGATTAATATTTGATTCGACTCTGAATCCTTCCATAGAGACAGTGTAAGATGGGCTCCTGTTATTCTTGGTAATACAGACAAAGTGATCGTCCAGACTTTGCGATGTGTGAAATAGTCCTTCCAAGGCAGATCATAAATTGTACGAGCAATCGCTTATATAATGAATAATGACGAAGAAAAAGGTCGGCGTTAGACGGAAGGCTGCGATTGCACATTCCCTGAAGAAGGTACAGAAGAGTGACCGAAAAGGCGGCTTTGTATCCCGTGTATACTTTAATGGCCGTGTATCTGAAATTATTTTGATCTTCTTATAAATTATGGCAAACAGTGACCCCCGGAAGTGTGGCATTAGTATGGCTGCCAGTTCGGAATGGAGCATACTTGAAACACCTTGTCGTCACATTTCATTCAGCTGTGCTAATGAACCGCGCTTATGTCGTATTTAATCAATTTAGCAAAATCTCAGCCAACATGTAAACAAACCGTTCAACTACCATCGGGGTCTCTTTAGCATGTTCAAGATGGCAACAACGCAGGCAAACGTTTGCATGGGCACAGTTCTCGTGAAACATATTCACCTCATAGCGAAGTTAGAAAGAGAATCTGCGAACTGTTCGTTTGATGAAACAACTGTCATTTCGTTGTTCTGCGCTTCTACTCGAAGTTGCGCACGAACATCTCTAGACTGATCATTTTCCTGAATGATCATGCCTTTTGATGCTCATAAGATCCCTCAGCTAGCGCTGCTGTGTGCTGTTTCGAAACTGTTCCAATTTATCGGTCGTGAGAACCGCCTTCAGGTGGTACATAGCTGTCACCGTTTCCGTGTCGCTGTGACCTCTGCTGCTGAATATAACTGACGAATGAGGTCGGACGTATCATTTCGTGTTGAGCGGTTTCCCGCAGAACATATATCGCAATAATCTTCTTCGATGTTACTAGTCGTTCGCCTGAAGAATGGCTCTGCATTTCGCTTCTCACCAGCGTAGCTGAACGAATTGCGAGCCTAGGCTATCGATCCCAGTTTTGTGAAAAGGTTAAAGTCGTTTCTGAGAGCCGTCGTTCGTCTTTCGGTGTTAGCGTTTTGGAGCACAGCGCGACATAAGTGGTTGATGAATCAACTGGATTGACGACTGTATTCATAAACAGCGATACAAAATTATCCGTTGTTTCGATTTATCACCAATACGGCCATTTACGAGTTTCCGTAGTATTCATTGATGCTCCGCTGTATTTTTGTTGCTCAACAGTCTTTTTACAGCAGTAATGTTTGCTTCGATGCAGGGAGTATGTCTGCAATCGAAAGTCTATCAGCGTTAACGTAATGTATCTCTCTTACTGTGAATGTATTTCATATTTCTATGAATTTATTCACTTTCAATAATTTGTATGTTATACACTTGGCACTGCAGGTGCTCAAAGCCGTACCCTGCTTAAATTGCTTCTCTAGGCAACTACGAGAAACGAGGAGGTGCCATACACCGTTCAATGCACCGGTGCAATCTGATTTTGGAGGACTGCTGCGTTATTTGACATAATTATGATATGATGTGAGTCAACAACTAACTTCTTAAAAATCTGATTCAATGATGTTTCCTACCGACTACTTGACCCCAGTTTCCTAGGGAACAGTATTGGCAGGCCGTGGTACCATCGTATTTGAACATCTTCATCCACATCAATTTACCAGGTAAAACAGTCGCTTGCCGGCTGGTCACGTCCGATGTTTCAAAAACTGGTAGCATTTAAATAGGCGTTGGAATGCCTGATTCGTTCGTTAATGATCATAATGACAATGCAGCAAAAATATTTTTTTTATTGATCAGCGCCAAATCAGGTCTATCGAGTGCCAAACCGAGAATTCTTTTGTGCATTAATAACCTACTTTGTACTGTTTATGTGAATATTAGCATATTCACACTAGGAGCCCATGTGCGCATGTTTTGCGGAAAAAATAATGCGAGGTACTTCTAACACCGTAGGTGTTTATATGCTGCAGGACAGTGGCCCGTGTAAATGACCCTTAGAGGTCCATAAACAATGAGGTATTGCAATGTGCTTCAACGAGTTAAGAGCTTATGGACATTCTCCGGCGCACGAAAGCATTCTTTTAGTTCTATCTGACAGAAGTGGATATCGCGGTTTTGTACCTTATACGTCAACATAGATGATTGTGATAATTTTGAATAATATCGTCGTCCAGGATCTGACGATTCTGCTGTCCCTGTATATGAAATACTTTGGCCATCCATTATGTTATTTGAATATTAATAAAGCCAGGCTTGATTAACAGAAGATATTCTAAGCGTGTTGTTGCTCCTGTTTTGAGTGACTCCAACAGGGGTGAAGTCGAGCCAGCTCCCAAGTTATGAATCACCGGACTATGCATAAGATATCAACCAGGGGTAACGAGCAGCTCGCGTACCCACGCATATGGCCTAAGGTTCGTGAACTGGCACAAAGCTTGACGGTATGAACCATCTGCAATAGCGTATCTCACTCTGGAGTGATGTGATTCTTCGGTGGCCAAATTTTTCCACTGTTGCGCACCCCGTTTAGCTACTGCCGATTATATGGCTGTTCGAGTGATCGGTCACCAGGCTAGTTTCGCTGATAAGCATTAAACAGTTATTTAACTCGGCTGCATATTTTGTAATGGCCAGTTAAACCATAAGCTTCATGTGTGACCGAAGTTGTATGAGGGGGTTATGGAAACTGAGTGCAAAATAACATGAATCTACACCTTTCTGACAGTGCCTAAATCATAATCACTGTAATGTCTATCTCTTGAATAATTCATACTGGCTTTATCACTGAGAGATCTCCTCCGTTTCATCAGAGTCTGTCATGGCCATCAAGAGACTGCACAATGCTTTTCATGACAGCCTTGTTCCAAGGATTGCGCGCGTGATTGGATTCGCTTAATGTATGCCGATTCATTTGGCGTTTAATATATAGTCTTCAAAAACCGCCGAAGTGCATGTAGCACCGTATAGAATTGCGCGACTACTGTATAATGACTCCTATTAGTGCATACCAGTATTTATGTAAACGAAGTGTAGTTGCGTTAAAATCCTACGAATGCCGTACACCAATTTCAGAGACACTACGTTGTTATTTGCTTTCAAACTTTGCGATGCAGCGCAAGAAATGACGAACCCTTTGAAAGACGTACACATTGAGTGTTGATGCGTTGGTAACTTAAGAACTTCTACACGTCAGTTAATCATTTTGCTTGTCTGTTTCCCTGCTTCCCGTAACGGCGGTCTACTCTTCAGCTGACTCATCTTCTTACTATGCTTTGAACGGTTTAATTGGGTAGGGTTTATATTCATTCCTGTTCATTTCCTGCACCCCTATCGCGGAAAGGAGACAGCTACCAAAATGTGGGATCTCATGGTAGGGTGAAATGGTGAAACGCGTACTCTCCGCATTGGCTGTAACGGCTGTTTGGGTTTGCCATGAACCTCGTAATAGTCACGAGTAAAGGCGCTGATAATCAGGGTTAATTATGAGGTACTGCTCTTTATAAGAGGGACACTTTAAATGGAAAATAACGGCAGAAGGCCATGGATAACATTATTCGTGTTGATCCTCAAAGAAAGCATGTGAAATGTTTTTCGTTTCACTGTGCAATATACATTCTGAACAGCCAGCGATAGTCCACCAACAATAAGGACTGGTGACTTTTAGTAGCAATGGACAACATGAATAATATTATTGCAGTTAGAATGGTCAAAACTTAAGTAACGACGGGAAATAGTGTTGCTAAAAAAAACAATATTATACTAAATCGAAGATTTTGGTTCATGTCGTTCGAGGACCAAAGAAAAGAAGTAAGGAT